TTTTTTTTTTTTTTTTTTTTTTTTTTTTTTTTTTTTTTTTTTTTTTTTTTTTTTTTTTTTGCTTCTGATTTTGTCGAAATTGTTTGAGTCTGAGATGTCGAGATGAAGTTGAAAATTATGACTATGAGCTTAAATAGAGAATTCAAACAAGTGCACCCGTCACGTAGTGTTACTTCAGAATCTTTAGGTCCGAAATCAGTTTCGAGTTTTTTGCGCGGGCAATTTTCTTTTCTGTGATTAGAGACTGTATCATTTTAATTGATTTTTTGGTGTCAGTTGTGGTCTTCTCTACAGAAATTAGTTCTTAGATAAACGCTATCGCTGTATGTCTATGGAGTTTAATATTACCTCACGAAACACTTGGGAGCATAGGTCGTTGTGAAGGCGTCGGCGCGAAAATGAATTTTGGATGTTTTGTGAGCCCTAACAGGATTGAAACTTCGAAGTTCATTCGGATTGCCAAACTCTTAAAGAGAACGCTATGAGTGGAAAAAGCGTACAAAATTATAGTCGGGAAGGCTGAAGGGGTGAGGAACTGGTCGGGATCCCAAATGGATTTTGACTCAATTGTTTCACATCTAAACCAAAAACCTTAATTATCTAGCGTGTCGTGAGACCAGATAGAGATAAACTTCCATCGATCTAGTTGTTCGTACTGGATATGTGTTTGCGTTTAGTTATGCTTTTACTTGAACCAACACTGTGGAAGGTTAAGCATTTGAGCACGGAATTTGGGTGTTGGCCGTAACTTTTTAATTGGAAATTCTTCTTGATGCCCTCATCGGGGACTGGAAATGTATCTTGTTGTCTATTGATGCAAAATCTTCATTTTTGCTGATTGCAGGACAATATTGTGTGTAGATGAACTGAGAAGTAGCTACATATGATATAAACTCTGGCATGCCTTCTGCATAGTTATACCATTACTTTGGATCAACAACTTCAGCTGCTTATTGTCTAAAACAATCAGGTTGAATCTGATGGTGAAAACAAAGCAAAGACAGAATAGTAATCCTATTCATCTTTCTGGCTCTTCAAACTCTGATATTGATTTGGATTTGCACGGAGATGATAGTTGGGTGGTGGTAAAGAAGCAGAAAGTCACAATCCTAGTGCCTCCCACTTCAATAGTAACAAAATCCTCATCTCCCAATGCTGGACAAAGTCAGCTGCAGCCAATTACCCAAAAGGTATCAAATTGCCAAGCAGGAGCTCTTGAAGAGACATGTCTAGAAGCACCTGCTGTTCAACTGCCATCAACTTCTAAAAATGTTAAGCAATCTGTTGCCGCTCACTGTAATTCGACAGTGAAAGAGCCACTGAAGCAAGCTGTCACCCCAAACCCAGATGAAGCTTGCAATTCAAGGCCTTGTAAGGTTTCAGGATTATTGAACAGTGCGAAATCTATGAAGCAGCCTACACATTTACATTGCCCTGGGGGCTTTCTCACTGGAAGCACATTGTTAAATCAGAGACTTAGAGCACTTAATCTGGAGAGGAAGCTGCAGAAAGCTGGTGGTTTAAGTAGATGGTTGGAATCACTAGGACTGAACCAATTTGTGGGTATTTTCCAGAGAAGAAGTATCAGTAAATTTCACCTGGTAAATCTAACCATGAAAAAGCTGAAAGATATGGGCGCCAATGCGGTGGGGCCGCGTAGAAAACTGATACATGCAATTGAGTGTGTCTGTCAACCTTACAGTTCTGAAACTTTTGAGCCGGTGTATGAGATTTAATCAATGATATTAGACCCGCCCTTCAGCTTCTCCTTGCCAGGGTATGCAGTTCCATCCTTGAATTGTTGAGTTGTTGGTTGTGTATATATTAATTCTAAATGTGTCTATTGAATCCTAAAAGGATTGATGGCCGAAAGAGTGTGTGGTTGAGGGCCTATCTCTTGCCCTTGCATCAGGATTTCTTCTTCAATAGGCAGAGAACTTTGTAAATCTCCAGCTCTTGGATAGTGAAGATAGAAAGCACATGATTTCTCAAACGTGATGGGTTTTTATAGAACAAGATCACCATATAATCAGCATGATAATGGGGCTGATTTGGGGTGCATCTTTAATCTGTCTACTAGAAGACTGTTCATTGGTAGATACACACAGGTATGGGGCTAGGAGTTCGAAGGTAATACCGAGCTAATAGAGTGATCAATAGAGATAGATGTACTCGTTAGCAGCATTCCTATCATACAGTAATGAGGTGTTTGTTGAATGAAAAGATTTGGCTTCTAGGAGCTATGTTGAATTAACCAGTTTTTTTTTTCTTCCCCTTTGTTCTTATTTGACTATACAGTGAAAGCTTTTTTTTCTTGAAGAGCAATGCCAAGGATCTCGTGGAGGAATTCTATTTGTGACATACAAAAAGACTTGGGGCAGACACATGCCCTTCAGGCAAGACTTTTCTTTTCTAATAAGAATTTTAATATAGCTATTCGTGATCGATCAACTCGTACTCACGTACTCACGTCACGTTATGAACTCAACTGTACACAAATAGACACATTAATTCCATTATCTGTTCAAACAAATACTCCAAATTGCGATCATGAAGCTCCCAAATACATCAATGATAAATACTACGAAGTGTTTGGTTTCCTCGCTACTTTTGCATAATAATGCTCCAAAAGTAGCATTTTTTTCTACTACATTTTGGCTTCTGCATCGATCCATTTCAGAAGTTCACTCAGAGTTCTCACCAAATCCTTCTTCCGTTGTAGGCTTGAACCAACAATATGACTTGATAATGAGGTTCAAGGGGGATACAGGGAGATTTCTATTCATGTTGAAAATTTGCGATCCTAAACCTATTTCTCCCAACCTCCTAATCTCGACCCTGGATCGTAGTTTGTGAACAGTCGGAACTCGTTTCCAAGCTTGCTAGAGTGGTGTGGCCTAAAACCACAAGGATGAAAACCCATTAGCTCAGCTGCTCTTTCTGCTTGCACTTCTCCTGCATTTCGTTTTTACACAATGTTTTGTCAGAAGCAAAACAACAGAATTAAATCCAAGAATCTAATCAGTATCTTAGAAATCTTGGTAATCAGGCAACTGATAGAACATCTATTTACAGTAAAAAAAGCAAATTGCTTGGCAGGAAGGTTATTCATCATCACTATACCTGTTAGTAGTAGGAGGTAAGATTCACGATTCTGTGCCAGGAAAGAAATTGAACGGGTGACTTTCTCCAGACATTCTTTGCTCTGCAAGAACGAACAAGGAGGGAGGAGGGAGCACAAATTATTCATAGCTTGATAGAAAACCATTGTTTCACACACACACACACACACATATAATCCCAAGCACTAAAATCGGTTCCAACAGTCTTTTCTTCACCCAACTCCCCATTTTCTCTTAAATCAAGCTATGAAAAATCAGGAGTAATGTGGAATGACTCCATTCCTGTAAGATGTAGAGTTCGTTATCCCTCATCATCCCTGTTATTCCTCCTCTCTATGAGACGCGGGATCGACCCTGCTCTTTCTACATCCTTTTGGATGATAAGACATGCCTATCCATATTTTATCCAGATTATGGACCAGGGAGACGCATCACGGTCTCTTTACCGAGTTATGAGAGAGCCAGAGGCAGGAACTTGCCAGCCCTAATTTCTTTGGTAATCCACCAAAGTTCAGAGTTCAGATTTCAGATTTCAGACTTCTTTATATGAGACAGTAAGCTCATACAAAGAAGGTTGATTTCACAAACAAAGTATCCAAAATTGTGAAAAAAAAAAGTTAATCATAAACGTGTAAGCTATAGATATTATCTCTCACCAGGTAAGGAGGATCTGCTATCACAATCTGAAAATCATGCTTCAATTCCATCGGTAACTCTTCTGGTTCATTATAATCGTAAAATGTGAATTCACTACCATGTTGGGAAAAGCGTTCGTCATACTCAAGAAGTTGTGCAGATACATGCGGTCCGAGTTTCTGAGAAATGAAGATCAGACAGTCAATATATATTACAACCAGAGCAGCTGGTTAGTTCTGGAAGAGAAGGATAGGGTTTCCAATCCAAAACAAAACTCATTCTGATCATCGGTATGATCGAAGGTATGTATATTTATCCAACACTTGAAATTTCAACCTATACTGAGAAAATTAAAGCAGAATCTCCAAGAACAGAAAATTAAGAACAAATTCTGGTTTCGAAATGTGATGAAAAGAAAACGACGATCCAATTACCTTCAGATAGGTATAGAGAGTCGGACAAGCAATACAGGCGACTCGAGGAGATTCGAAGTTCTGGCACAGCGTAAGAACCTCATTAGTCACCGTCTCCGCCGTGTCGCGGTCGTACCAGAACTGACTCAGCCTCCAATCCTCCGTCACTAAAGTGACTTCTGAGTCTTCGGAAACTCCGCTTTCCAAGTGAACATCGGGCTGAGTTTGGGCTTGCTCGTCAAGGAACTCCTTGAGTGCAGCTAGGGCATGAGAGCTCAACAATGGCGGATCATCATCATTTTCTTCTTCAATCCTCAGGTCTCCGCAAGTGGTCTCTGATTTGCTGGGTGACTCCATTTCTTGCACTCTTTCAGACCGTTTCTCGCGCGAAGGACCGAAGCGGCGGCGATGACTGATAGAGGGAATTAATTCTATTTCTTCCCAACGATTTTAGGTAAAAATCTACTTTCTTTTATTTAATTTAAATCTTTTTTTCCCGTAAAAAATTATTAATTGATTTATATATAAAATTAATTTCCACCCTTTTTTAATTAACTACTATATTAAAAAAAAAAACACAAATCCCAAACTTTTGTGGATATTTGTCATAACATTAATTTAATATTTTATTTCACAATTTTATACTATCAAAATTAATTTTTAATAAGTAAATATATGTTTCGAAAATAGACAAAATACTAATTTAAAACGATGGATTAAAAATATTTAAAATCATATAATGGATTAGAAATATTTAAAAAATAAATATAAATAAAACTTGTAATAGATTATTTGAAAATAATTAACCACCTATTTTCGTACTAAATTTTTTTCATCGTTTTTTAATTTTATGTTAAAATTTTGTAAATAAAAATTAAAATAGTAATTATTTAAAAGTATATGGATTAAAATAAATATTTTAAAAGTAAAAAAAAAAAATAATAACGAAACCCTACGTTAAAAAGATTTAAAAAAGGAAAAAGAGAGTGAAAAATCTCATATAAATTGTTCGAATTTCTTGCAGGGAAGCGGGAAAGGTATCGAAATCCATCGCATGTAGTATTCAAACGCAAGACCAACAGAACCGAACTCCATTTCCAAAACCCTCTGTCGGATTTGTTCCGCCGTTGTCCAGAATCTCTCCGGCAGAAGAAACGCTAATCCAGTTCGACTCAGGCATGGCCGATTCCACGACCAGTAGGAAGAAACCTCTCAGCTTGAACGATCGTCACTACCGCCTCCTTCAGGATCTTTCTGCTCCACCCAAACCCTCTCTGGCAACCGCTCGTGGTACAGTACAGTACACTCACTTCCTTCCTTTTGCGCACTCCGCTTTTTTTCTTGGTTCTCCAATTTCGTAGCTCTGTAGTAATCGCTGGCGAGTTTATTTGTGTGTGTGCAGATCAGAGGGCAGGAGACGAAGATGAAAAGCCCTCGAGAATCGAACTTGAGAATCAATGTCGCCTCAGTGAAGTATCGACTAATGTTGACGAACTTCATGATAATAGTGTTCCGCAGTCTTCAGGTGTTAATGGTACGGATTTCAGTTTCTTCCTGCAGTTCCATAACCATAAAATTTATTGGTAATATCTTTTCCTGTCGGTGATGTTATTTTTGTTTTTTTTTTTCATCCGTAATTTTTAGTGGACGAACAGCCGAGGAAGATTAAGATTGGTGGCCGACGCCGTCTGTGCAAACTTTCGTCCCGAGAAGATGGTTATGTGGATAATCCAGTGGGGTTTGATTTCAGTGAACCCAATTTTTCTGGTATTACAGATTTTGATTCTCCTTCTCCCCCACCTCCACCGCCCTTGGATCATCGCGATAACAAGGGAAGTGATATCAGGGATATTCTGAATGACTTGAGCACGAAGCTCGAGCTTTTGTCTGTCGAGAAAAAGCGTGAAAAACCAAGAAAATTTGATTCTCTTGAAAACTTATCTGCTTCTTATTGTGGAAAAGGGATCGAGGAAGCAAGTGAAGCCGATGAACGTGAGGTTGATAGTCTGAAGTTCTCCACCAACCCATCTAATTCCTTGTTAGGTGAAAATGCAAAAGTTGAGAATGTTGTTAAGACTCTGAACGACGGTTTGAGTGGTGAGTATGGAGTAGAAATTCCCCCAAATAAGGTGAAGGTCGATGTGTTTTACAAGGGAACTCATGAAGTTGATACGTGCAGTACAGGGAGTGAACAACTTCTAAATCTAGAATATGGAAACAATAAACATCACGAAGGACGAGATAAATACACGCATCAGGATGTCCAAAGGTCATATAATTCCCTAGGAAAAACTCCTGCGTTGATAGACGAAGGAGAGGTAGACCTTGAGGATGATTGCGTAGTTCTGAATCGTGAAACAAGGAATTTTAATGGAGTGAGAAGGCAACATGACAAATATGAAAAGAAGAGTGATGATTCTGATGGGGTTGACATGTTTGATAAATCTGCTGAGGATTTTATATTGGAGGGAAAAACCTCCACTGGTCACAAGTCTGCTTTCAAATTGCAAGGTAGAATTGCAAAGATGCTGTATCCACATCAGCGTGAAGGGCTGCGTTGGCTGTGGTCTCTACATTGTCGGGGTAATGGTGGAATCCTGGGGGATGACATGGGTCTAGGTAAAACAATGCAGGTAATAACAGAAAGAACTGTTCTCTCTCAATCTGTTTGTTTGCTTGGATGTGTCTAAATACAATATTTTGTCCCTTTCTTCTCAGATTTGTGGCTTTCTAGCTGGACTTTTTTATTCGCGTTTAATTAAGAGGGTCTTGGTTGTGGCTCCTAAAACTCTCCTGCCCCATTGGATTAAGGAGTTAGCTGTTGTGGGTCTTTCTGAGAAGACGAGAGAGTAACCCTTTATTGCCTGGATCATTTTAAATATATATTTTTACTTCTGTTATAGAACTGAATGCAGCTGCTGAGCTTTCCAATTCCTGTACAGATACTATGGGACGTCGGCTAAACTTCGACAGTATGAGCTTAATTATATTCTCCAGGTTAGATATATCCAAGTTTTGTGATTAAACTAAGCCTGTAACCATTGACTAGAAGAAGCAAAGACAATTCTAAATATTAGATTGCATTATTCTTCGTAGAAATTTGTTGCACAGTGATATTAATCAAATTTTACCTATGTTGGGATTAACCGAAATTATCGGATACCTTCAATTAGTATTTTAATTGCTGCGTATAATTTAAAGTTCTGTTTTGTCTTTATTACTTGTGTCCGCAACAGGATAAAGGTGTTCTTCTGACGACTTATGATATTGTGAGAAATAATTCAAAGTCTTTACAAGGAAACAGCTTCTTTGATGATGAAGAAACTGAGGATGGAACAACATGGGATTATATGATCCTTGATGAGGTCATTATTTATATACTTGTAATTTACTAGTTATGAATTTGTTCATATATATATATATATATATCTTTTTAATACTTAGCTGATACACTTATTTTATTTGTACTGATTGTTCCATATAATAAACAAACTATACTATATTCCACCCTACAGATCAAAGTTTTAGTTGGTTAGATTCAAACTTCTATACCAAACTTAGATTCTTTTATTAGAAGTCAAAATTTCCGAGATTCAACAACTGGTTCTGTGGTTTTTAGCTTTGAATTTTTTGAAATACATTGAAGGTTGGTACTCATTTCAATCGACATGCCATTACCTGAATGCAGTGGATATTTCCACAGTCATAAATAACTTGTTTACTATAAATCAATGTAGACTTTCTATTCGTTATATATATTGGTGTGATTGATCAACCCATTTATAATCCAGGGTCATCTTATAAAGAATCCTAGCACTCAAAGAGCCAAAAGTTTGCTTGAAATTCCTAGTGCTCATCGCATAATTATAAGTGGCACACCATTGCAAAACAATTTGAAGGTATCACATTACCAGTTCTACCAGCTAATATAATGTCATTTCCCTTATGTCTTTTATCCGCTTTCAAACATAAATACTCCATGGGAGGTGTATTTTTAGCTTGATCCCATACATATTTAATTTGCGTTCTCTTTCTCTCTCTACTAGGAACTGTGGGCCCTGTTTAATTTTTGCTGTCCTGACCTATTGGGTGACAAGAAATGGTATGCATCCTTGTTTTATTATTGGTTGTTTTGTCTTTTAGATATCTTTTTGTCTTCTTCATGTTACTTGTTCAAAGTTTTATTCATGTATTGTTGGTATGAAATTTGGACTTGCTCAGGTTTAAAGAGTACTATGAGTGTGCAATTCTTCGTGGAAATGACAAAAAGGCTTCTGAAAGAGATAAGCGTGTTGGTTCAATGGCTGCAAAGGTAATGCTTATTGCTTGTTTATGGACCTTTAACCTTTTTGTTGTCGCCTGCCAGTTTAGCACAATTTTGGGAATTAAGATTTATTTATTATAATAGTAGAAAGGGAAAAAAAACATTGGATTTTTTCTCTTGTTGCGTGTGAGCTGGAAGAAAACGACAGTGCTTTGTGAAAAGGGAAAGTACCAGTTCTCTCTCCCTCTGTTTTTTTCCTAAGATTCCTTTTGTTGCTGCATCCTGGACCTTGGTGTACAATACGTGATAATTTGGTGACTAGTAATCACGGTAGATTATGATTTTTGTTGGTTGGTGCTATATTTTGGTAATTTTGGTTTGAAAATTCTAACAGCAGGTTCAGGAGGTTCTTTTCGATGGCCAGTTTTGTCTGTTCTTTTTCTGATTTACCCCTTTCTGATTCATGCTAACTGGAAATCTTTTTTTTTTTTTTTTTTTTT